GATCGAATCAGGAAACGATAGATCCTGAGCATAGAACACTGATCCGCTTCCCAAGAGCTGGAAGAGAGGACATGGAGGATGTTCAGAGCCCTTGCACACTTGAGACATAGCTGCTTGATGCCTCAGGAACCACACGAATAACTATATCGCCGAGACGGAGCTCGGGATTGGGGTGGAGACCCCGTTGGCGGCAAAAATGCATGCAAAAGGTTTTGGAAAAAGAAAATTTAAAACCGTTTGCAGTGGTCCATGTCAACAATCGATTGAGGGCAGTCTGAAGCTGATGCTCAATAAACCTCATGTTTGACGACTGACACAAGATGTAGTGATTTGTAGTCATGGCATTAATTTTAACACTAAAAAGTGTGACACTCAAGACACAGCCCTGAGGAACTCCAAGTTCCTGTGGAATTGAACGAGAAAGAGCTGAACCCACATGGAATTGGAATCAGCTGTTCAGTAAAAAGTTGTGAATAAAAATTGGTAAATGGCCACGCAACACATAGGAGTGGAGGTCCTGCAAAATTCCAAACCTCCATAAAGTGTCAAAATCCTTCTCGAGATTGAAGAACACAGAAACAAGGTGTTCTCTCTTGAGAAAGGCTTCCCTTATCAATGTTTCAAGTCGAATCAGATGGTCCATGGTGGAGCGCTTTCGATGGAACCCACACTGGGTGGGCGAGAGGAGCGTGTTCAATTCCAGGAATCAAACAAGACAAGCATTAACCATCTTCCCTAGGACCTTACAAAGACAACTAGTCAAAGCAATGGGATGATAATTAGAAGGAATCTTGGGATCCTTCCCAGGTTTAGCCTGGTGCCAAGCATCAGGAAAAATATGCTCCTGCCAGATCCGGTTAAAAATAACCAGAAGAATACCAAGAGAGGCAAGAGAGAGAGATGGTGCAACACCTCATAATGAACATCATCAGGTCCAACTGATGAAGAGCAAGTTTGAGTTCCACCAGTGTAAAGGAGCAATTATAATCATAGAGACGATCGGCCTGAAAGGAAAGAGGTGATCACTCTGCCCGAGACTTTATGGCCAAGAAGGCAGGGGAAGAAACAGAAGCGCTAGAAGCATGAGAAAAGCTTTGGCTGAGAGCATCAACAATTCTCTGGACATCAGCAACTTCCAGGCCATTGTCCCATACAGTTTTGGAACTGGTGGTAGAAGAGATGCTAGTAGTGAACTTAATCCAAGACTCCTTTTGGCTTTGATGTCAAACCTACTGAGCATGGGCATGAGCCCATTGACAACAATATGGTTAGAAAGAGAGGGATACTGTCGGAAGGTATCCCAGGCCCGATTTTGAGCCTTCCATGTTTCCTGGCAGGCAGGACTCCACCATGGACGAGGATACAGTGGAAAACGTGTTGAGGTCTTAGGAACAGAATGAGCAGCCACCTGGACAATACAGTCACTCACTGCAACCACACAGTCGTCTATTGATGGCAGACAGACGAAGGCAAGATCAAAGAGAGAGAGGTGAAAGATGGCCAGTCAGTCTGGTCCAGCTTCCCCTATGGCACTCGGGTCGGGTGGCATCGACCATGGCCAACCTCTTTCAGTATGATAGGAAAATGATCACTGCCCCGTGGATCACTGTCGACCATCCAAGAAAAGTGAAGGGGAGCAAATCGAGAGATCAATGGCAGTAAAAGACTGACTACGTGCATGAAAATAAGTATATGTTCCAGTATTGAAGAGAGAAAGGTTGTGATCCGAGAGCATACGCTCTATGGAACCATCAATATCAGTGCCACCCCAGAGGGAGTTGTGTCCATTTAAGTCTCCCAGAAGTAAAAAGGGAGGTGGCAAGTGGTCAACGAGAGCATCAAGGTCCGATTGATCATAAGTCTCCCCAGGAGACTGGTAGAGAGAGCAAACAGTGATGGCACAACCCAAGGAAACACGTATGCTACAGCCTCCAAGGGTGTATCAAGGGACACAGATAAGGAGGGCACATGCTGGTCGACCAGCAGTGCCACCCCTCCGTGTACCCACCCATCACACAACCTGTCATTCCGGTACAAAGAAAACTGCCGAAAGGTGACTGTATCGGCAGGTTTAAGAAAGGTTTCCTGTAAGGAGAGACACATGGGATGATAGGAGTCAATTAAGGCCTTAATGTCATTGAGATTAGAATGAAAATCTCGACAGTTCAACTGTATTAAAGTGGCCATTTTTATGTAGGTTTAGGAGAACAGGGTGGAGAACCCTTCGGTTTGCGACCATGCCATTTTTCTTTACTGGATGGAGGTCGATCGACCTCCATGGATCCTGCCCTTGAACGAGCGGGCAGATCTCTGTCATCAGAGTGAGAATCCAATGACTGAGGATGTGATCAAATGATCGTCCTGCATTTAGGGGGCCAAAAAAGGATCCGCACAGACACCAGAGGGTGCTGCCCGAGGAGGTTGATCCAGGCAGTCACTGGAAGGAATAGTGGGGACAGAGATTGGAGTAGATGTAGACTTATCAACTCTATTATCTATGGAGGGCAGAAGATCCCTCACATGGCATGAAAAACACTCAGATGGAGGCATGGAAAGGTCCGTCTGCACTCCCACTGTAGCAGTGGAGTGTAGTGCAGTGGCATATGTCCAAGATGTAGTAGGGAACAATAGCTTCCGAGCCTCAGGATAAAAGATGTTATAAGAGTCTTCAAAT